GTCAATACTAAAATTGATTATAAGATTGAAAAATATTAATCTTATTATTGTACTAGTTATACTATGTACATGTTTTAATTATTGTTAATTATTCGTTTTAAACGTTTTTTTAATTTTAATGTATTGTTTAAGTATGAATTTCTATGTCCATGTTAAATTAATCTTATCTATTAAAATTGTATATTTAAATAATATAGTAATAGGCATAGCCGAGGTCTATCCTAGGCTAGGCCTAAACAAGTGACTATATGTGAATGTATAAAATTATGAAACATGAATAAAACGCAAAATTGTAAAAGAATAAAGGAAGAAGGAAGAATAGGGAAGAGATATGAGGTTTATGTAAATTTGATTTCGAATTATGAAAAGTGTAGGCTGTGGCGCCAAGACCTCTGACGATTAGTGCCCAAAAATGTTTACAAAAACGTAATGCAATTGATTGGATTGGATTTATTCGATGTAAACACCAAGGATAGTCCACGAAAATTTAGAAGAAGACTTATTTTTTTAGGACCAGGGTTTTAGTGGCCTTTAGCAGCTTTGGTCTCTAATTTGAATCAATATAATTAAAGACCTGCTTTAAAAGTAGTTTTTAGTATCTCTATTTAGAGGGGAATTAAGAGATGATATAGTAAATGTAAGATGTTTGAATGGGTGTAGGGCCTACAGTTACTGTAAGATGTTATTATTATTATTATTAATGCTAAAACTATTTCCATGTAGTAAAGTCCGGTGCATGGTGGTCTTTTGGTGTCTAATTCAAAGGGGTCCCAATTTGGAAGAATCCACATCCGGGAGATCTGTTTAAATAAATTTTCTTATGACAACCAAATTTTGCTGTGCATGGTGATAAATATTAATGATTGGTACTAACTGCATGCTGCGCAGACAATTGATATTACAGTTTAAAAACTTGTTAAAGCATGCAAATGTCATCATGGATTTGCGGGAGATGGTTTATTTCAGTTTATTCCTGCCAGTTTCCAGGAGACCCCATTCCGAGACTCTACGGGAGACTTGGAACTCATGGGTAATAAATGTGGTTTTCAGATTTCTCTATTTAGATGGAAATTAAAAAATAGTACATTAAATGTTTTTAAATGGTTGTACAGTCACTGCATGCTCTTATTTATTCTTAATTAAACATTTCTTAGTAGCCAGACATCAACTTGTCTTTCCATTAAAATATTACTAACCTTGCCACTAACATTATCGTCATTCAATAGTGAAAAAAAACGCTATACACAAAACAGTGCATTGGCTAATATATCTACGTGTAAGTAATATATAACACAATTTATTGTATTGCCGTGTACATTTAAACTTTATTGACAATCCTTAATTTCAATATTTAAGATCGGTTTTGAAATTGTTTAGAGGTATAAAATAAAATAACAAATAACTATTATAAAATTTTGTCAGAGGTATAATGGCCAAGCCGGCCCAGATTAGACACTTGCCTCATTTAGATAAATGTGGCAAAGACAAGCCAAACCAGTCACTCGTCGCAAAAATCGATTTGAGTTATTAATATTGGGTTAAAGAGTAAAATAAGAACTATAAAAAAATCGTTCAAATCCGACATTTTCTTCTGAAGTTACAAGAATTTAAGCGTACAGCTGTTTCAAGAACAATATATGAGAAATCAGCCTTCAAAGGTTATGATTTCAGGTATTTCTCATGCAGAAACTATCATGAAATCATTAAAAAGTGTTGTTTTAACATTGAAATTGGGAAAAATAACAGCACAGAATGATGTATAAATACATAAACCTTAGATTAGTGAAATAAAATAGATTTAAAAAAAATTTTACATTCTAGCGTGTTTTTGCTATTTTCTCTGAAACACAATTTGCGACAGGTGACTGGTTTGGCTTGTCTTTGCCACAAATGCATATTAATTAGGAATTTTAGTAACTTGTACTGTATATAGTTTGTTGTATTTTGTATTATTCCTGATGATGTTTAAATACAAGTGAAACGTAGAATAAAATGGCCTAGTCAATTTTTGGAGTGACATTCAAATTATTAATTTGTAGGCGTACTTAAGGCAGTGATGAGTCTACATTTAAAATGTTTTGT